TCTGAGTTTTTTTCTACTACATAGAGAATTCTTTGTGGACTAAGATCATTATTTTGTATTGCCAGGCATGGAGCTTTGTGGATCAAGCTTAGATTTCCAGATTGCATTGTCTCAGTGAGAAACTAAGATGTTAACTGGCCAACCATTTATTAGATTCTATTTTTTATTTATTTATTTTTTTGAGACGGAGTCTCACTCACTCTGTCGCCCAGACTGGAGTGCAATGGCTTGATCTCAGTTCATTGCAACCTCTGCCTCCCAGGCTCAAGCAATCCTCCCACCTCAGCCTCCTGAGTAGCTGGGATTACAGGTGCATGCCACCACACTCAGCTAATTTTTATATTTTTAGTAGAGACAGAGTTTCACCAGGCTGGTCTCGCACTCCTAACCTCAAGGGATCCGCCCGCCTCAGCCTCCCAAAGTGCTGGGATTACAGGCAGGAGCCACTGCACCCAACCCAGATTCTATTTTTTGAATGGACCAACTCTGAATATGAATTCAAGTTTTTACATGGTCAAATCCATAGTACTTGCTAGGTTAAAATGACTGACTAGTCTATAAAGTTGACACTACTATCATGGGAGTGTTAGAATAAAAACACTATATATCCACTAACTCCTAATAATATTGCTTTCCTTGATTTTACTAGCTGCTGAAGATTCAGGAGGTGGTGATGACAAAAAGTCCAAAACATGTTTAATGTTGTAATATAATCTAACTGGTCTAAACTTCAAATATCGTTTTACCTTTGAAGAAAACCAGAAAATATTCAAAAGAACTTCAACGAATCATCAAGTAACAGAGTAAGAGGATCTTCAGAAAAACTACCCTGTGACTATGAAGAAAATACATATTGCTAGCCCAAAAACCCCAAGGGCAAAATAAAGTTCAACAAAAGTGCAAAATATGACAAAAATGGGTACATTTTTCGTGCCAATTTATTTTAAATTAAAAAATATGTAATCCTGAAACTAGTCACAAATTCTTTTTTAAAACATTAATTGTATTTATTTGCTAAGGCTGCTATGACAAAGTACCACAGCTTAACCAATAGAAATGTATTTTCTCAAAGTCTTGGGGGCTGGAAGTTCAAGATCAAGGAGTTGGCAGGGTTGGCTTCTTGGGAGGTCTCTCAACTTGGTTTGCAGATGGCCATCTCCTCCCTGTGTCTTCACATGGTCTTCCCTCTGTGTGTCTGTGTCCTAATCTCCTTTTCTTATAAGGACTCCAGTAGGACTGGATTAGGGCCTACCCATGTGACCTCATTTTAGTCTTAATTACCTCGTTAATGGCCTTATCTCCAAATACAGTCACATTCTGAGGTACTGGGGATTGGGACTTAAATATATGAAATGGGTGAGGGGTGGGGGAGACACAATTCACCCATAACATTTGTAACTGTGATTCACACCTCGAGCCACTCCCTCAACTAAAAACTCTCAACATGTCTTAATAAAAGAGTAAACGCAATACAGAATGTATAGTGTTGTAAATATGGTATAGAAAATAAAGTAATGAAGTCATTTTATTCAATGTTATTCCATCTGAAATGCTTATCTCTTTCCTCTACTTTTACCTTTGAGAATGGAATGATGACCAAACTATTTTTTGGCAGTTTATTAAAACTATGCCTTTGTCGTACACTCCGCCTTCAAAGTTTGAAATCAATTATCTTGGGTGTAACTAAGAATATTTTTTACGGTTCAGAACTATTCTTTTCATTAAAAAGAGTATCAATGCACAAGATACTAACTGGATAATCGTAATGCAAGTTAAAGCAGCTAATGAATATTATGCATTAAGAAGTATGTGATTGGATTATGCAAGAACCTTGTTATCAAAAATAGTGGGGAAAAACTTCAACCAAGATGACTTTCTAAAAATGATTAATAGAACTACCTACCAAGCATTCTAAATATTAAATTGTTAAGGGAAACTAAGGGCAATCAACTACTTCCACTGCATGGTATATGTCTGTCCAGATATTAGAGAAATTTAAGATTTCTTCCTTTAGTTATCTATAATCATAGATAAAATTAGAAAACAGAATAATATAGTTATGCCATATATTTTGTCGTAGATTTTTTTTTGTCACAAGCTATCTACATTCTAATGAATTGAAGATCAATGAACCTATATATTTTGTAATAGACAAGACCATGTTCAATTTTGAGCAGCCAAGAAATGAATCACCATTTGTTTTATTTTTATAAGTTAGGTATTTAGAATTGCAAGACAGCTTCTCTCACATTAGAATGTGAAGTTTATGAGGAAAGATTTTTGTCTATTTTGTCTGTTTTGTTCACAGCTCTATTTTGGCACCTAGAGCAGTGCCTGGCACAAGGCAGGCACTCAGTAATATGAATGAATACTATGTGAATAAATGTTACAACAAACAGATATAAATAAGGTATGACAGTAAGTCATACTTAAATTATTGTTTATTAAATGAGTATTGTTTATTAAAGTAATCAACTTAGCTACGTGATGCATGCTCCCTCATTTCCACTGCTTAAAATAATTGTGAAACTCCACTTCCAGAATCACTATTATTTTAAAAACCATGTAAGAAACTTTATTCCTTTAGCCCTATGTAATTTTGGACCCCAAAATATCAGTCAGCTCAAACAACTTCCCCTCCTTAGTCACCAGAAATTGTACTGAGGTTAGAGATGTCGACCACTGAATGTCTGCCAAATACATGAACTCCGTATAAGAGCGAGTGTAAGAAGGCCTAACTTCAATACCCCCAGACAAGTGGTCTGCTGACTACCACCGACTGCACTATAGCGAAGTTTGAGACAGGTTGGTAGGAGAATTACTATTTAAACTCATCGTGTTAGAGGCCTTTTCAAGACTCCTTAAAAACATGACTCCCATTATCTGTCATTGTGCACGAGTGGATTAAGTGTTGTGATTTTATATAAATTTATAAATGAGCCTGATGTCATAAACCTACTTGAAATATCAAATACACTGATCTATTTTTAAAGGGTCTTTAGATATTCTTCCTAGTTAAATTCTTAATTTTAATTTTGCAGGAATTTTATTTTCTGACAACCACTAAACAATGGACATATTTTTACCATAAGAATGTTTAACTGCATATATTATACAACTAATATCAGTCTTGCTGCTGGACATTTCAAACACTTTTTCCTCAAAAATATAGATTCATTTTTACACACTACAAGTAGTTAGGTTAAAAAAAAAACAATTTCTTCAAGAAGTGAGAGGACTATCAATGTTAAACACTGATAAACCCAACACTGATTTACTTTTCTGAAACAGGTTCAGAAATGATTGCCTAATTACTTCCTAGATGGTTCCTTTACAGCCATGCCCAGCTCAGTGCCTCACACATAATAGAAGCCTGATAAATATTTGTGGAATTAATGAATAACAACTGTTTAATAAAAGGAAAATCTCTGATAATAACCATTTTAAAATAAGATAACAAATTACTTATTTTGCAGTTTAATGCCAATCATTCCATGTTTAAATGTTGTTTAAAATAGTATATCTTCAATAAAATACCTGCTTATGTTCAGTTCATTTTCTATATGTTCTTTCTCTTATTCATCAAGTCAAGCATCTTCTCCGATATCTATCCATTTGCTCTTTATAAAAGCAGATCTTTACCTGTTTTCAGAAATCAATAAACCCTTTTGAAAACCTGATTTTTGAAAATTTGAAATTTATGTACTTTTCCTCCAAAAAACATACACAGAAGTTTACACATAGATTCTAAAAAGGCTTGGATCTCCTGAAGTACCTCCATAGACCCTTGCAAGTAGGATCTTAAGTTAAGAAGTTAACATTTTATAATATATTTCTGCATAGAAGTTCTATTAGTCCGTTTTCACACTGCTGATAAAGACATACCGGAGACTGGGGAAGAAAGGGGTTTAGCTGGACTTACAGTTCCACATGGCTGGGAAAGCCTCAGAATCATGGTGGGAGGCAAGAGGCACTTCTTACTTGGTAGCAGCAAAAGAAAATGAGAAGGATGCAAAAGCAGAAGCCCCTGATAAAACCATCATATCTCATGAGACTTATTCACTACCACAAGAATAGTATGGGGGAAACTGCCCCCTTGATTCAAATTATCTCTCACCGGATCCCTCCCATAACATGTGGGAATTATGGGCGTACACATTCAAGATGAGATTTGGGTGGGGACACAGAGCCAAACTATATCAGAATTATATTCATATTTGCATGAGTGTATCTGAGGTAAGATACACACACATCGTATTATTCAGTTAAATTATTATCTTATTGCATAATCTCTGCTGGGGAGTTAGTTTTGTGAACACATGAACTGTTTTAGACTACTAGGACCTCACTTGCTCCCTGTGGTAATCATTTACTTAATAGTAAATTATCCACAGACTAGGAAGTCAAATTTGATTATAACAAACTCTCTTAAGTGGTAGAGGTTAAGAAGGAAGCAAGAGACAGGCTAGCTAAAAACCTCAAAAAGCAGCCGAAAATAGGTGGTAATGGGAAAGCAGGTACTTAAAAGATGGGTGCCAGTTTATCAATGGGAAAGAAAGAGGTTAAAGACATACATAATCTACTTTAATCCTAGTAATTTAAAATAACTGGCAGAACATGGTGGCTCACACCTGCAATCCTCGCACTTTGAGAGGCCAGGGTGGGAGGAATGCATAAGGCCAGGAGTTTGAATACCAGTCTGGACAACACACGAGGACTCTGTTTCTACAAAAGAAAAAAATTAAAAACAAACAAACAAATCTAGTATTGGTGGCTCTAAAAAACAGAAAAATAAAAAATAATAAAATAAAATAATGAAGGCAAGAGAAGATAAATAATGAAGGCAGTGCAAAAAAACCTACAAAACGTAGGAGCAATGGAAACTGTCCAGCTCTATCCTCTAGGAGCTAGATAAAACAGAATTGTAGATAAGCAATTGAAAAGATATTTAAAGGACAGGAAAGTCTTTAATTGAACTAATGAATTTCCAAAGCATCTGACATTCTGAGAGAATCTGGATTTTTATTTCCAAAGACACCACACAAGCTGTAACTTGCAGATAAAAACTTACATGGAATTTCAAATTGCATGAAGTTTAAAACTTCATGAAGTTTCACATTAAGTCTCTCTTGTCTTATAGAAACAAATCCTGAAAATACTCATCAAATTCTTCTTCCCTATTTAAAAAAAAAGCATACATATTAAGATCGATAAATAGAGTAAAAAAATTACATGATACATTATATGAGAATAAAAATAAAATAAGTCAACATATTGGCTGATTCTGCTATATATCAATATATTCCCATGATTCAGCCATCAAATAATTCTTAGTTTCTAGAATAATCATAACTATACCCAGATTGATTAAAATAAAAATATTTCATATGTTGGCACCTCTCCCTAAATGTATTACCTAAAATTTTGCTTTGAAATACTTGTGAAATGTCATAGTTTCTCTTTACTTTTTGGGCTTACTTTATAACTTCTCTGTTCATTCTCATTTTAAATTATAGTCTGCTCAAGAAGTGAATAAAAAAGAAACTTTTTAAGGAAAAATGTAAGCCTAAGATATACCGGGGAATGACTAAGGGGAATTGGGTAAATCTCCTTAGGCTGTAGTTTTTTTACTACACTGAGCATAGTAAATATATTATGTATTTGTAGCAGTAAATATTATTTTACTTTTAAAAGACCAGTGTGATAGCAGTGTAGCAATGTAGAAGTGTACTTCCCATGCAAGGGGCTCCCTTGCATAGGTTTATGATAATCATAGTATGATGGAATAGGCTTCTCTGGAAGCTTAGGAAACAGCCATCTCTGAAGAAATCCAAGCAAGGACCAGAGGGTCATCTGTTAAAGTGAACTGACTAAAGATTTATTTACCAGGAGGAAGCTGGACATGTTGGCTCTTACGACAATGGCTGGAAATAAGCTCTAATCTTACCAGGCTAGGCAGTCCTTGGCATTAAATAGATCATCATGATGTTGTATTTTTCCATTAATAAAGCCATGGTTATAGCTTCCTAAACTGATTGAAAAGGTACATATTATCTATTAATATCAGCACTTACTGTGATTTTTCATCTGTCTCTGGTAGTGGACCCTTCCAAAGTTCAGATTCTGAAGCACTTTCTTCCTCATCAGAGTTTCCTGTTCATTTAAAAGAGATGATTTTAAAAAATCTATTATACTTAAAACACATTTTGAACTATTCGCCAATAATTAACTTTTTATTTAACTCAGCTTCAACTTTTATGGCTCTCTAAAAATGGAATTCACTCTCACATGTACAATAAATTATTTTAAAACATATATAAATAGGCCAAGGGATACAAAGAGTCACAGCAAAAAGGCCAAGGATTTTAAGTCTCATGGAAATTTCTCTAAGTTACACTGAGTTAAAGTAGCAATTCCAATATTAACTCTTATAAGTGAATTTATCTCTTGCAATATAGTTGTTTCTGATCTAGTTTCTTCTTTTTCTTGGTTAACAGAAGACATGCAAGTTAAGATTTACATTTGTAGAGAACATGTTTACATTAAGATTAGCACCTTAAGAACTGAGCTAGTATGTAAGACCAGCTAGTTAAATTATTTTTTAAAAATTGTCAGACATTTTAAAGAACTAATGCTGATTACATAATGAGAGGAAGCTTGTTTCAGTGAAGAAACTGGCATTCTCACACACTGCTGGGAGTCAAATTTTGTAAACCTTCTTCTGGAGAAAAATCTGGCAATATAGATCAGTTTAAAACACATACCCTGTGACCAGCAATGCTGCTTTTAGGAATTTGATTATTTACATTTATAAATAAGCACCTCTGATACATATGTACAAAGATGCACACTGTATAAGAACAACAAAAAAAAAACCTAATTCCCCACCAATTAGGGATTAATGACTGGTTAAATAAATACTGTACAGTTGTTTAAAAACATTAGCATATCTGTATGTACTGCAATAGAAAAATGTCCACTCTATATCAAATTTTTAAAAAGTTACAAAAAGTATGCATAGTATAACATATATGTTAAAAACATATGCATATTATATACATACATGTAATTTTATATATGTATTGTAAGTTTGCAAAAGCCAACCAAATTTAGCAGTGATTATATTACCTGTGGGCCTGGAATACTTTTACTTTCTATTTTAAACATTTTCAAATTGTTTGTATTTTAAACAATGAGCACGAATTACCTTCAAAATCAGTAAAAACAATAAAGACACTTTATTTGTATATAAAAATATGACAAAATAGACATGTTTCAAATAAATCACCTTTATTAGTCAACTAAAATTTTAAAAATATGGCAAAATTATCATGCAGTAACACTATAATCCACAAAGTAGTTGCATTAGCAAACAATTCCTCTCCAATAATGATTATTAGTCTAAAAAAGAAGTGGCACAAATGTGGCCTGTCAATACAGAATGTCCTTTAGTTAAACACAACATAAAAGTAAAAGAGCATTGATTTGTTACGGTGGATCTAGCCTTTTACCTGTTGGACTCTGATCCTTGAATCAACATGTGTGTCTGAACTTTGCTCCTAACTGAATCTATTCTGGCACCAATTCCAGCAAAAATGGCAAAAGGGGGGAGGGCATTTTGTTTTCTAATGATCTACATACGAATGATAAAATTTTAATCTTGAAAACAAGATTCCCGGCTCAATGACAGCTATCACTGGAATGGCCAGTGTCCCAAATTGATAATGTGAAGGAAAAAAAGAATTAAAATCTTCTCTTATTTTTATGAAAACTCACTAACATGAGATAAAGAAAGCAGAGAAAAACTAACTAGGCCTAGTAAGGTTATTACTAGTGTATTATTCTGCTAATGTTAATGATGCCAGAGAACAAAACCTACAAGGCCTTTAGAAGTGGACAGCTGTTATCTTGTTCTCTTCCAAGAGTACTTCCCACATGCCAGCTTTCTTACACCAGCTTTCTGATACCAGTCAATCAATTTTACTAAAAAATCAAGTCAGTTTAGAGTAACATTATAAAATAACTGCCTCAAAAAATACCCATTAAAAAAGTGGCCAGATATCCCTAAAGAATCAAGTCTACAAGACTGGACTAAATGACCTTTACGGTCCCTTATAACCCTATGAATCTATAGTATCCTGGTCCCCTGAGGGTTGGCAGTCACTACAAATCATTGCTATCATAACTGTTACAACCTGCCAGGGGCGGGAGGGGTATTACTAAGGACATAACAATTGGAAGAACAGGCAACACAAAAGAATGCATCACTGTCAAATCTATTCAGTAATTATTGGTAAGTAGGGATTGGAATTTAAGTCACTGACTTTCTGAGTTGAAAGGGGAACCTGGAAGTCATTTAATCCAACACTTATCCAATGAATGAACCTCTCACTGCAACACCTCCACTAACAAGTGCCAGTTCAATTCATGCTGGAACACTCACTACTCCAGAGGCAGCCCATTTCTCCATTTCTTTTGTCAGGCAGTTCTAAGGGACAAGTTTTTCCTTAAATTAAGGCAAAAATCTGTCTTTGGGCAGTTCTGCCAACCCAGAGTCATAAAAAATAAGTCTCCTACATAGTAGAAGCCTTGCAGTAATTTCCATACAGTAATTTCCATGTCTGCTTCCTCACCTCTTCCCTCCCATCCCTTCACTCTTCTCCCAGGTAAACATCTGCAGTTACTCCAACATTCTTCCTACAACATAATTTCCAGTTCTCGCAATATCTCAGTTTTTTTCTTCTTGACCTGCTTCAAGTTTTCAATGTTTCCTTTAGAGTGTGGTGCCTAAATAAATTGTACACAATTTTCCCTACATATTTTGAATAATGAGTAGGCCTATCATCTTGGTTTTTGTGGATATTATATGGTAACTAGTAACTTGCCCTACTGAAGCAATGGCAAATGTCTCCAATAATCATGGTAACAAATGGACAGGTTAGATTTTTACAGACTTAACTTTTGATTTCATCAATTCCAGAGAACAAACACAGGATTTATATGTCTGTATTTTTCTTTTCTCCGATAACAATGATAACTACAGGTTATCAAGGACTTACTTTGTGTCAGGCACATACTTTACACATATGTTTTCTCATTTGATTCTGATAATAATCCAACAAAGTAGGTCTCTTTATACTCATTTTACAGACAGAAGTGAAACATAGACAGATGAAATCATTTAATGTGGGTCTGTACAATGCATATGCCAAAACTGGGGTATAAAGAATAGACATACAGTTGATTTCACTGATAAGCAGTTATTGATTGATACAGGTAAAGGGCATAGACTTTGGAATTATAAACTTCTGTTTAATCCCAGCTTTGCCACTAACTATTTGACCTTGGACACTTTGCTTCAATTCTCTGGTTCTTGGGCGGTCTCATGTGCAAGGTGACCACAGATAACAATACTTGAAATTTGTTAAAAGGGCAGCAAATCATCAAGTTGTACACTTTAAATATATAATTTTTAAAAACTGAGTTTCTTCATTCATTTAAAGACATTCTCTAGGTCTTGATTTTTCTCATCTACAAAATGAGGATATTATATGAACATTATTAGATGAAATGAGGTAACATATCTAAAGCACTTGTTACTGTGCCAACAGAAATTGAGTTTTTCTCCATGGATTTGGTTTTAATAATCCAGAAGTCAAATGAGCGAAGAAGGTAACTGAGTATTGTCCAAATGGAAATAAAATAAATAGCAAAATGTGAGGTCTGAAATTGCCAAGACCATGTAATACAGATGACTGACCGCCTGAGAGGATATCTGGGGTTGGCATACCATAACAATGTGTATGTTTCCTGCTTACTATGGTAAATAACTTTCTGGCTGCCAAACAGCAGGTCAGCTTGAAGTGGATAATTTGCCTTTTCAAGGCCAAACTAGCTACAGGTTTCTCAGATTGGATATAGTCTTCACAGTATTCACCCTGCTTCTACTAGTAAAAATTTGACCTAGCTGAGGAGAGGTAAAAGAGCATTAAGTGCTACTTCTAGGAGGCAGGGAAGGATTCAGAGGGCAGGGGTGAAAGACAGTGGGAGGGAGAAAGCAGGCAGAAGAAATAAAAGAATAATATAAATCAGTGATTCAAGAATTTCCCCCAAAAGATTTTTTAATAATAAAAAATTAGAACTGAAAAAGGGGAATTTTTTCTATATTACATAAACATTCACACCTCTCACTGTTGGAAATGGATGAAAACTAAAATACACTTTCCACTTTAGCCTGTGTACCCCTTTGTTGAAGTATGTACCTACGATTTCATCCTGAGATAACATTGGTCCACTGATCTTATACTTGGCAGTATTTTTGAAACTGTCACTACATTTTACCTAATTTAGGAAAGGACTTCCTGATAAATTAGAATTTACATGCAGAGAAAGTGTCAGTGCTTTAAGATACTTCAAATATATTGAAAACAAAGTTGGTACAAGCAAAATAATTATAAGGAATATACTATATTCCTAAGCTAGAGGAATACCTCCATCATCTCCCTCTCCACTAAATTTTTAAACAAGAAATATCTTAAAATTTCTATTTTTTCTCAGTGCAAAATTTCTGATCATTGAATATTTAAAATTTCTTAAGAATTATACTAAACGCAAATAATGTTTATATTTGAGTTTTGGAATTTGGAATAATTATCAAACTTTTTTCCCTGAGTTTGCCACAATAAATCTTAAAGTCATAAAAAAAATTTTTTTCTTAATTCTTAGGTTTATAAATAACCAAGTGACCAGGTGTGGTGGTTCACACCTGTAATCCCAGCACTTTGGGAGACCAAGGCAGGCAGATCACAAGGTCAGGAGTTCGAGACCAGCCTGGCCAATATGATGAAACCCTGTCTCTACTAAAAATACAAAAATTAGCTGGGCGTGGTGACGGGTGCCTGCAGTCCCAGCTACTCGGGAGGCTGAGGCAGAAGAATCACTTGAACCTGGGAAGCGGAGGTTGCAGTCAGCCGAGATCGTGCCACTGCACTCCAGCCTGGGTGACAGAGCAAGACTCCATCTCCAAAATCATAAAAGAAAATAATCAAGTAAGCCTAGAAATCTCAAGTTTCTAAATTTCTATGAAATAAGTATAGACAGTATAAAATGAATTAGATATGCTATTGAACTACACCTTATTATTAGGCCTTGAGCCTACTACAAGTCTTTAAAAAATTCAACACTGTATTACTGTTTAGATTCAAAGCTACTGTTTGTTACGACACAAATGGATGTACCCTTTTATAAACCCAGAGAAGACTCTTCTCTCAAAACTGCCAGGAAAAAGCTGAACACTCTAGGAGTTCTCATTATTATCTTATGGGTACAATTCATCTTTCTACTGCTGGTTTCGCTCTTAGGTTTGGTTGTTAGGAAGAACACTGACAAATCTGTGATCTATCTTTGCAATTATGCAAGACTTTTTGGAATACAATTGTGTGTATAACTGTAGCTTTACATTGCTATTCTACCTTATTTTTCCATTATTCTGACTTTTTTAACCTTAAAAAAATGTATTGTGTATGTTTTTATAAGTCATCGTGAATACTTTTTGGAATATTTCAGGGAAAAAATTTGTAAAATTTGCAGTAAATACTCAACGAAATCCAATCTGTTTTGATCCAAACTAGGGAAAACCATAGGACTAATTTAAATCCATTTCAACCTCATCCCTTTATCTTTCTTCCTTCACATTTTATAATATGAAATTGAAAGACATATCCATTGTATTTACTGGAAAAATTTTTAATGCTCTCTATACTTAAAATAAGAAACTTCTTAACACCCTTAATTGGGGAATAAATCCTATACACCTTTGGCCTTTTTTCTACAGTTTTTCTCATGTATAAAAATAATTAACAAAAACAAAAAATAATTCACATCAGAGCAAGATACAATTCATGGGAAATCTAAATTGCAAATACCTCAAATGCATATTTTTATTAAATAAATACTTGTTACTTACTCTTTAGAGAATCTTCTGATTTCTTTGAAGATGAATGTCCTGAAAAGGAAACATCATTGATTTATTAAGTATCATCCTGTAGTAGTGTAATCATTGTAGCTGTAACCAGAATTCTTAGCAATATTCTACTTTGCTTATAGTCTTACAGATAAGCACTTCACTGTTTTCTAATCTTTCATGTTCCTTAGTCTTATCTCCCTAATTAAAATGTTGCATTCTTTTAGGCAGGGATCATATCTTATGTTCTCATTGGTCTGTAATAGCCAGCACAAAACTTAAAAAATAATGAATACCTGCAAAAAAAAATCTCATATTGCTAAAAAGAAAACCTCACAGATTAGCTGCAATATAAGTAATAATTTATTATCTATAGAGATGTTCAACATTTGAAAGCAGTTTACAAATAAATACTTGCTTTTTATAGTATCTTTTCTAAAGTCATACGCAGATGAGCATTAGTTCTCAGTAACTGATAAAAACACATACAATTACATCATAAAACAAAAATTCTCAGCTCTACAATGGTCATCCAGTGACAGAAACAGAGAGAGAAAGGCACTAAAGATCTATCAGTGTAATTTTTTAAAAAATCACCATGATACAGAGCTTCCTGCAATAAGACCTCAGGGAAAATATTTCTGAAGGATGATAAAATAAAAAAGGGCAGGTGACAGATAGACAGTAACAATTCCTCCAATGTTCCTGGATAGGAGGCCTCATAACCCAAAGTTTTTGGCCTCTTTAGACCAGGTGAAGAGTATAAGAACTACAGGGTAAGGAAATAGGAAATGTATTCTTTCCTGTCATCCTCTAATGAGGAACATGATACCTGCTTCCCAATATCCAAAGGTCTACAGGTAAAAAAGACGTTAGGCTTAATTTGGAGTCCCAAGGACATAATTAGAACCAAAGGGAGGAAGCTATAGATTTCGGCTGAATGTTAAGAGAAACATGCTAGCAATTACAACTACCTGAAAAGGTAAAGCATTATTTTTGGTAGTAGTGGGTTCCTTTTCCCTGGAAATGTTGAACCAACGCAGAACAATCACATGATACACAGCAGTGCCTCTCAAACTTTAGTGCATATGATTCGCCCTGGGAACTTGTTAGGAGATCTGGAAGGGTCTGAGATTGTGAGTTGCTAACAAGTTCCCAAATGCTGCCCAGAGGACCATACTTTGAAAAGCAAAACTAAAGAATATCCTTTCAGTCGTGATTCCAGAACTGATCTCTGAAGTTCCTTTGACTTTGAGAAAATGTGGTTGAATTCACTGATTCACTCACTTACATTTATTGAATGCCTACTATGGGAGTAAGCACTATCAGGAATTAGAGATAACAAGGTAAACATGTCACATAGTCCCTTCCCTTACAGAAAATAAACAAATTATTCCAAGGATATTATGTATTTCTAAAGGAGAAGTGAGAGGTATTATTGGAATATGTAAGAGGAACATCAGCTTATTTGGAGAAGTGAGGTGAAAGGGTGCCAGGAAGGGCCTTTCCAAGGAACTGAGCTAAGCTGAAACCTGAAGGATGAGGTAGCTTTTGGGAAAGGGCTGATGGTGAGACAGGTAAGATTCTGAACATTTTGCCAAGACAGTGTACCTCCATATCTTGTTCTCCCCATACCTGCTAAAGCGGACTGGTCCTTAAAGTCAGTTATTGATTTTTCTTACTTTTTCTCTCTATCCATTCATTCAACTACCTAGTTCATCCATCTATTACTTATTTAACATTTTCTAAGACAGTAACCTAAAGCTATGAGAATTGATGGGATTACACTGGGAGTACAGAGAGAAACTAGAGAAATCTAGGTAAGAGCACCGAGGAACTCTAACAGCTAAATGTAAGACTGAGAAGGAACTTCAGTTAAAAGCAGCTAAGGAGGTTGGGTGTGGTGACTCATGCTGGTAATCCCAGCACTTTGGGAGGCCAAGGTGAGAGAACTGCTTGAGGTCAGGAGTTTGAGACCAGTCTGGGAAACAGCAAGACCCCGTCTATGCAAAAACAAAAAACAAAAATTAGCTGAGTGTAGTAATGTGGGCCTGTAGTCCTAGTTACTTGGGAGACTGAGAAAGGAGGATCAATTGGGCCTCAGAAGTTAAGCCTGCAGTAAGCCAAGATTATGCCACTGTATTCCAGCACTCCAGCCTGGGGCCTGGATGACAGAACAAGACTCTGTCTTCCAAAAAAAAAAGAGGCCAGCAAGATAGAAATAAAACTAAAGGAAGTTGTTTTGAGGCATGCCAACAGTCCGAACGCAGCTGAGATGTTAAGCATTTATTAATTACTCTTCAAGTCTGGTCCAAATTAAGGTGGTCTGGCAAGAAAGAATCAAATCAATGATAAAGCTAATTCTAGATGATCCCAGACAAGGTATAAAAGAGTTCCACATGGTTTTCCTAAAAGTTTGCTAAAATTTTGTTATTTTCTGTTATATACCATAGAAGTTGGGGGTAAAAAAGCTGTATTTCTAGAGACTTTGCTTTCAAAGGCACTCTAAATAGAGAATACATAGGAAAGAGATGTCTCAATTCCACCTGGCTTTGGTCTTCTATCCCTGAAGAATCTTCAAAGTCTTTTACTCTCTCACTATTACTTATGTTGAACATGAGCCAGTGGGGTGCCAGGGATATAGCAATGAACAAAGTAGGAAGAATCTCTGCCTCTTTTTGGCTTTTACATAGTCATATGTGTAATAATGGAAAGTGTCAGGAGCCATGACAGCATTACATATGAGAGTCCTAATTTAGATTCAAGGTGGGGGATGAAATCAGGAAAGGATCGGAAAAGACATTTAAAAGCTTAGACCTGAAGGATGAGCTGGGATAGAACTGAGGGTTTTAGGAAGAGAAGATGCAGCATCCATGTAACCCCTGAAATTGAAAGAGGCTTGACATTTTGCAGAAACTGAAAGGCTACATGGGGGGAGTATGAACGTGAGGTATGGAGTGGTGAGAAACAAGCCTTGTATGGTACACAAGTTCTGGATCCCACAGAACCTTTTAGCTTTGTCCAGGATTTTGGTTATCAGCCTAAAAACAACAGGAAATAATTGATTTATGGAGATTGGATTAAGAGGAGGGAAGGTGGAATGGCAGGACAGAGGCGGAACCCGTAAGGAGAATATAACAGTAGCCTATAAGAGAAAATATAGAGGTTTGTAGTAGGGTGGAGAGAACTTCAGAAATACATACTCTGGGGGTAAAATTCACAGGACTTGGTGACAAATTAAACATAAATAATAAGGTGAAAGAAAGTATCAAGGATAATCCCCAGATTTCTGATATTAGTTTTTAGGTCAACATAGGTGTCATCTACTGATGGAACACTAAAGGAAAAACGTCTATAAGGAAGATCACATGCATATCTATGCATAATATGAAGGGTCCAATCCCAGCCCTGAACCTTAGTATTCATCTACCTCATCTATTTTGATTGTACTGAGTAACATTTTATAAAGTAGAGACTAGTTCTTTCATTTGGAATATGCAGTGATTAACATGGTATCACAGTTGTGATAAGAATAAACATATAACACAATGAGGGCAACAAATTTCTTAAGTGACATATTAAATATTTTACTAGCATATAAGGATAAATAACTTTTTAAGACTCAAAAGATACTTTTAACATTTATTGGTTAAAATTTACCTTAGAGGGGAAAATAATTAACATAGAGACAAAAAGGCATTCTGCTACAAATGCCATCTCTCAATAAGCAATAAAATGACAATATCTTCCTCTCACCATCTATCAATTTTACGAAGACTAAAGCTTGGTGACACCATATACTTGAAGCTATGGGAGTAGACAGTATCACAAGGGCATGTAGATTTAAACTCTGCTACATAATGAATATATCATGATGTGCAAGAAGAAGTAAATGCTTCTAAGAATGCAACATAGCTAATGATCTTCATAGCTGGAGCAAGAGAGCCCTCTCCTGTCCAAATATTGTATTAACATTGGCTTGAATCTAATTCAATTACCTATCTAGATTAAGTATGATTCACTATAAATTACAGCTGATTTGACTCTACTTTATTATGGACAAAAAAGCAACTAGAAGTAACCTTCGTAATAGCTAATATGTGCCAAGTACTATGCAAACTGCTTAATGAATTATCTCATTTCAACTTCTGAACAATTCTAAAAGGAATCATGACCATTTTACGCATAAAGAAATTGAGTCTTAGACAGCTTAAGGACTGCTGAGGAAAAAGCAGGCAGTTCTAAGTATATGTGCACAGCACTATGCTAGGTTCTGAGAACACAGATACATGACAATCTTTCTCATTTCTAGAACCTCATAAACTAGTGAAAAAATCACACAGGCCATTATAAATAAAATCAGTATTATAATTTTATATTGATTTATAGATTACAGACTGTTTAAAGGCACTGATCAAAGTGCCTTTCACATTCTCATTTGAGTTTCCACAACAAGCTTGACCAGCATGAGATATTCACCTCACCCCTATACACATAAGAGAAATAAAGCAGTTCAGTGACTTATCCAAAGTAACAAGTCTGTAGGTGACAAAGCCAGGAATTAGAAAACTGTTGGCAATATTATACTATCTGCCAAAAATGAACTAAAATTAACCCTCTTAATTAATTTAGAGGAGTTCTTAAAACTCCTGTAAGTCACTTTAAGTTCATATCTAAATTCTCAGTAAGTTTCCTCTCAATTACCATAAAATGAAATTCTAACTGCATTCACCAATTAGATGAATGAAATACGGCAGATTATATTTCATGCTCATAAATGTGAGTAGATGCTTTATCTTAATTTCCTTTTACCTTTATCTTTTTTCTTGGAGGCCTCTTCTGCAGAAGATAATCTGGATTTTTTACGTGATGACTCTCCACAATCTGTTTTGGTTTTATCTTTTCTTTTTTTTGACTTGATTTCTTTTCTCCTTTATGTTAAACAATATAAAATTAAAGTTAACTTTTCCAACTGACCTTTTCAAAAATAAAAACCATCATATGAACAAAAAACCAAAATCAGTTAAAATACTTTTTTTTAAAATGTGATTTATATAATAAGGAATGTTAAGTGAGTCTGTAAATATTTTAGGCTAGTATATTAATTAAAACTATTCTGTAAGACAATAAAGTCTTAACACTGAGACAAATAATTATTTTCTATAAGTTCTGTATACAACCATAGTAAATACAAATTATAATTGTATTTGTTTTCTTCTTTCTATATTCTATCACTTAGCCTTTTAAAACGAAATTACAAAAACAAGTCTCATTTCTCTTCACATAATCCATATCCACCTACATGTTAAAAAAGCACAAATAAGGTGAAACTGCTGAACAGCTCTAAGCCACCAGTAAATAGAAATTTCTTCTCTTAAGAATAAAGGAATATAGTAAAAGCATAATGGAATGAAAACGGAAAGGGCTTATTGTTAATTCATATATCAACATCAGGCCACTTATAATTTATACTCTTATTGTTGCAGTTTTATCTCTTCTAGGCCAGGTTTACAAGGTTGGCAAGCAATTACTTAATTTTAATAGGTTAAAAAAAGAAATACTAAATGGGAAAAGGTGATAATGCTGAAATTGGGACTGGCAAGGAGGATAGAGACAAAGGTAAAGATTACTTTCAAAAAACTTGTTCAGTAGATTTTCCAAGTTAAAGTACATATACCAAATGCTATAATAGTATTTAATGCAGTCACCACTTTTGCCTATTTCATAAGAATCATTTCCACTTTGAAATGAAGTTCAAAAGTCAAGGTCAAAACAAATCTCTGGTTCCTTTCAATATCACTGATAGGAAGGGGAAATAAAGGTTTAGGCTATTCCAGTAATCTAAAAAAGTTCCAGCTCGGTGTGGAGGCTTATGCCTATCATCCCAGCACTTTGGGCGGCTGAGGCAGAACTGCTTGAGTCCAGGAGTTTGAGACCAGCATGGGCAACATAGGGAAACACCATCTCTACAGAAACTTAAAAAAAAATTATCCAGGTGTGGTGATGTACACCTGTAGTCTCAGCAATTCTGGAGGCTGAGATGGAAGGATCACTTGAGCTCAGGAGGCTGAGGCTGCAATGAGCCATGATCACACCACTGTGCTTCAGCCCAGCCAATAGAGTGAGACCTTGTCTCAAAAAAATAAAGAATAATGAAAATAATAAAAATAATTCTGCTAATTTTAAGAATTAAAAATATTATTTAACATTTATTTTTAACAGCTAAAGTACTATATAGGCACATTTATGACAAAGCTGTTATTTTTTGACAACCCATGTGATTGAAAAAAAAGAAAGCTATTCTAAAATTAATATGCTTATGTATACATTTTATAAAGTTGCAAAAGTTGAACTAATTTAACTGTTATTCAGGGCATAAAACCTGACCATCACAAAGGCAAGTTGCAAAGAATCAGTCTGAACATCTTTAATGTCAGGTACTGTGGCAAGCAATTTACATGCACTTTCATTTATTCCCCACAATAGCCTGAGTAGCCTCATTTTTACAGGTGATAAAATTAAGTCTTACAGAGGTTAAGCAGTTTGTCCAAGAGGAAGCCTGGTAAGTGGAGAAGCTGAGATTAAAAACGCAGGTCTGATTTCAAACCCCATCACTGCAGGTCACTGGTATTCCCACACATTCAATGTGGCAGATACAGTAAAGCTCATTCAATAAAAGCCTGATTTTAACTTTTTTTTCTTTTCTTTTCTTTTTCTTTTCTTTTTTTTTTTTTTGAGACAGAGTTTCGCTCTGTTGCTAGGCTGGAATGCAGTGGCTCAATCTCGGCTCACTGCAACCTCCGCCTCCCAGGTTCAAGTAATTCTCCTGCCTCAGCCTCCCCAGTAGCTGGGATTACAGGCACCTGCCACCACACCCAGTTAATTTCTGTATTTTCAGTGAAGACAGGGTTTTACCATGTTGGCCAGGCTGGTCTCGAACTTCTGACCTCAAGTGATCCACCCAACTTGGCCTCCCCAAGTGCTAGGATTACAGGCATGAGCCACCGCGCCTGTCCTTGATTTTAACGTTAAAATGAGTATAGAGGTGTCTAATCCTTTGTAAGAACAGCAAATTCCAGCTAAAACACTGTCTAAATGAGACACAAGAACCGCTTTATGAAGTCTGCTTTACAATGTAATTTCTAACATTAAAGTGTCAGGACATTGGCTCCAAACTAAAAACTCTAATATCCATCTACCACCCCACATAGGCCTTTACATTTAAAACTGCTTGGCAAGAATAGGGCATGGTGGACTTCTAAACTCCTGGTTTATGTAGCCATACGACAATGCCAGATTTTCTACATGATCAACCAATTCAACCATCAACCACCCAAGTCTACACTTAGACACTTAGGGCAGGTAAATGACTATATCCTGGATTACCAAACATTAAGAATGGCATTTTAAAAGACATTACCTGTGATGAAAATTTAATTTAATGGAACATTCTTGGCATAACCCTAAAAAGAAAAGACACCAATGAATGGTTGATTTTGAATAACCACACTGCTAATCTAGTTTTAATATCATAAATTTGCACTTTCTTTATATTCCATTACTATAAGAGGGGAAACAATCTGAAGAAAACAATCCGACCTTCATCACCTCAAAAATGCAAATACATACACACATACATATAATAAAAATACTAGATTGCTTGAGGAATTGAAAACATTCTAACACTATTTTAGAAAAATGTGTTGTCAATTTGTTCTAAAAACAAACTGTGTTCCACAGGCACGTTAACATGTGTCTCACATCAAAGATACCTAATAATAATGTGGATATAGTCATTTCCTCTGAAGTATTCTAAGAACTTTCAAACGCAAAGGAACTTTTCAAATAGTTCCTTTTTTTTTTTTTTTGCCTTAATCTCAGTTCACACTGGCTGACTTTTCCTCTTGAGCACTTCCAGAAGGAACTCAGAAACCAGCCTGTATTGACATGCATAAGTAGCATGTGGGGACGTTCTTGACTTTTATTAGGTATGAGCAGGAAACTCTGAAGGCACATTTACTTAGAACCCAGAGAAGGCTAAAGGCAATAATATGATGAGGGAAAGAAACAGCTGACACATGAAGACTAGCTTAAAAAATAAATAAAAGAATGACAGACTCTAAAACATGCATCCTAAGGGAAACTGCTATATTCTGGAGTATTTATTCCCTATGGTTTTAAGACTGAGGTCAAGAACAATTACGCTTTCCTAAAGTTTTTCTTTATTAATACTGTCAAACAGAGTGAATTTATTTATTATCTGTGCTACACCAATATCACTGAGTAATCAGCTAATGTGAGATTTTACACTGCCTTTTCTGATATTGTGCCTCTTAGCTATGTAATGTGGTGGCATTCTCACGTGAATGGGGACAGAGCCCCACTCTACAAATTACCAGTTTACATTTGACATTAGAATTCTTTTTACTGAAACACCATTGTAATGCTAAAAATGTAAAAATTTGAGGCTCAAAAGTTGAGACTTTGGGAAGCTCCAAGAAAAAAGAGCACTTCCAGAAAGATATGTTAAAAATTGTATTCGAATTTTAAAGTCTATATATTTTTAATTTTAAATTAAAGACAAACTTGGAAGAAGCAATCATATCCCCCCTAAAATCAACTTACTTAATTTAACAAGTGCATTTCTCTTTTCACCATGCTCAACATAACCAAAATTAACTTCCCAACTCTTTAAGCCTTCTTTTTTATCACAATATTTATTTCCACAGAAAAACTGACCTGCAGAAAGGAAAGGAATATTAGCTATGGTAGTTGGCGACAATATTTATCTATATGATCTAGTATTATCCCTAAAATGCACTTCTAAAATATGTAACTTAGCCATAGTCAGCCTTTAAAAACTGACCAGAGTAATACGTTCAACCAACTTGTAAACAAGTATCGAATCAAAGTACTGTTACCAAAAAAATCAGTCACAGAATTCTTGCTTGATAGACTGTATTTAGATAGACATTTTAGGGACTCCCTATTAGGGAATCTTACACTTTGGAAAGACAGTATTAAAGAATGGACATATTTTTCAGAAAGTTGGTTTAAGGAAACAAACAAACAAACAAACAAAAAATGTACTCACAAATACCCCAAAAGAAAAAAACACACTTTCCAAAGTACATGCACTTATAGCTGGGTGAAACCTTTCAATATTTAATGGTCATAATAAAGTTAATATTTTTAAGTATTAGCATAATGACATTTAAATACTAGCACAGATGGCCTTAAAAACACAATTAAAAATTCTAGCACTTTGAGGCAAAGTACAATATGTAGTCAAACCAGATACTCTAAATTTTAGTATAACTTGACACTATTATTAACATCACCCACATCACCACGTCCACAATATATTGAAACCTCCAAAAAAAGACTAACTGATAACCTGAGAGAAAAAAAGAGAAATGACTCAACAGTAATTTACTTTGGCAAAAAGACAAGACAAACTTTTATTAATTTATATCACAATAATTTGCACCAACAGGAGCAAATCTGTAACCAGCAAATCTTCTTTCATAAAAATTAAGAAATTATCAAAATGAATTTAGAAAACTACACCCTAAAAAGACTGATTTCTAAATCAGCCTTTTAAACTCATTCCAAATGAGTATTTTATTAAATCTATATTTTTAGTAGGTAAGGCTTTGTTAAAATAGTAACAAAATTATAACTTTATAAAAGAAATCACAACAGTAGCTTTCTTTTCCTTCCCTAACTAGTCCTTTATTCAGTTATATGAATGTAGAGATTACCCATCATTTTTTTTTTAAAAGGTAACATTATAAACTCACCTGAAAATCTCATTCAATAAAAGTACAACATCTTAAAATTGTGATAGACATTTCAGGATTTCTCATTATTTTAGATAAAAACATACACTAAAGTATAACCTTAGGAAAAGTTAAAATAGCTTTAAATTTATTCTTTTTCCTTAATGTTGTTTCATGGCATATCCAATTTCACACCTAACATATCGAATTTATGGAAGATATATATGAGCTACAATGATAGCATAAATATTTAATCATTTAAAAATGTAATCTTTCCATTTAAAACATTTTTTAAAGTAAGTTTAAAATTATTTCCTTAGTGCTACTACATAGTTTTCAGTACTTTAACACTTAAAATGCAATTACTCAGTAAGGAGCTAATTTTATAGCAAGAGACAGTATGGAGATACACAATTTCCAGGAAAAATATTATGAATAGATTTACAATAATGCATAGAAAAAGCATTTACTGATTGCCTACCAAATGTCTGGTCTTTTGCTATTAGACTAAGTATTTGGGCTCAATCTCAGGGACTTCCAAAAATGAGTACTAGCCTGACCCAAAATTCTATTGGGTTTAAAATGATACTTCTACTTTCAAAATGCGGATTTGGCTGAAAACAGTAATACCAATTCATTATTCCAAAAATTAACAAAGAACGGAAAAGAATAATGCTTTCTTTTTGTTGAAAGTTGTCTTGCTATGAAATCTTTAATTTGTTAAATATTTTCTACATATTTAGAAATTCGTAGAACATTCAACTGAATGTTCTAATGGCAAAATTATAAAGGTAATAATTATTAAAGCATTATATTCTGTCCTTTGCTAATAATGTACCATGAATACACCTTCTCTAATTTTACTTTTGTAGATAAGAATTTCTTGCTCCAATTCAGAAGCTTAACGAAATAAGTTTATCCTATTAAAAAGTAAAAATTTTAAAGAATTACCTTTTCCTGAAATTACTTCTTTTTCTACTCGCCACCTAAATCCAAACTGACAATAAAAAAATTACATTTATGTCAATGTAAATTTAAATTAAATTTAAATTATACAGAAATCTAAACATGGAACCAACAATGACATTCACCAACCTAAAAAATAAATGTAATTCCCATGACAGATTTTTCTCTTCTTATAGGATTTGAAGAAAATACACTGAACAATTAGCAATTTATCTGTTAAGAACAACCGACTTTAAGATAGCTTAAAAGTTATAGGTGCCAGACCACAAGATACCTAAAGTTAACAAATAAGATGTCCTGTTCTGTAAGACTGACATGAAAAAAAGAGGTTATGGTATAGTAAAGACGTAGTATATTCTAGTACAAAAAGTACAGCCTTTGGAGTCAGATTATTTATGTTTGCATTTTAGCTCTACCACTTAACAGCTGTACAGTACAGGGCAAATTATTTAATCTCTTTTTGCCTCGGCTTCCTCATATATGTAAAGTAGAAATATGAGTACCTACTTCCTTGGTACTCATAGAGGTTTAAAGAAGTTTAAATGAGATAATACATAAGAAGCACTTAGAATAGTAACTAGTAGACTCCAACAATCATGCTTCTTGGTATTTACCCAAATGAGCTGAAAACTAATGTCCACACAAAAGCCTAAATATAGATGTTTACAGCAACTTTATTTCTAATTGCCAAAACTTGGAAGCAACCAAGATGTTCCTCATTAAGTGAATGGATAAACAACTGTGGTACATCCAGACAATTAATATTATTCAGTGGTAAGAAGAAATATCAAACCATGAAGACATGGAGAAACTTAAGTGCGTATTACAAAGTGAAAGAACCCAATCTGAAAAGACTACATATATATGATTTCAACTATATGATATTCCGGAAAAGGCAAAACTATGAATGAAGTAGAAAGATCAGTAGTTGCCAGGGATTAGGAAGGTGGGATGAACAGGTGGAGCACAGACGATTTTTAGGGCAGTGCAAGTATTCTCTACGATACTGTAATGGTAGACATACATCATCACACATTCGTCAAAGCGGTAGAATGTACAATATCAAGAGTGAACCCTAATGTAAGCTATGGACTTCAAATGATAATGATGTATCAATGTAGGTTCACTGATTGTAACAAATGTACCACTCTGGTGTGGGATGCTGACAGTAGGAGATGCTATGCATGCATGAGGGCAGGGGGTATATGGGAACTCTGTACTTTCTGCTCAATTTTGTTGTAAACCTAAAAATGCTCTAAAAATTAAAAACAAACAAAAAATACACTTAAGAAAATTACTTGAACCCGGGAGGTAGATGGAGGCTGCAGTGAGCCATGATCATGCCACTGCATTCCATCCACCCTGGGCAACTGAGCAAGATCCTGTCTCAAAACAAACAAAAACTACAACAACAACAAACAACAAAAACAAACAAACAAAAAACCACTCAAGCCTAGAAACATGCATACCTGTACCCAACTCAAGAAGCTCTTGTCACTCATTAGGTCTTAACCCTGGAAAAGTTACTTAACTTCTGTACTTCCTCTTCATGTATAAAAATGGAAATAGTAACAACCTTAAGTTCACAGGATTGCTATAGTAAGACAGAGGATTCAGATAAAGTGTTCAATGCCTTGCTAACTTCAGTTTGTTGTGGGTTGTTTGTTTTGTTTGTTTGTTTTCAGCCTTCCAAATAGCTAGGACTACAGGCATGTGTACCCTGCCTGGCTAATTTTATTTTGTATAGAGATAAGGTCTCACTATATTGCCTAGGCTGGTTTTGAACTCCTGGCCTCAAGTTATCCTCCCACTGCAGTCTCCCAAAGTACTGGGATTACAGGCAACAGCCACTGTGCCTGGCAATTTCAATTATTTTCTTTAAAAAATCATCAATCTATTACTTGAATTTGGCAATTTTGTATTTTAAATGCAAATAAAGGCTCAAAATATTTCAAAATATTCTGATTAAAACCCAACAAAAATAAAATCCTCCAAATCTAGGGGAAAAAATAAAATTTCAGGATAACTCTGTTTAATTCTATTTTTTAGCCTATATATGTATGTGGAGATTGCTTGCATCCAACATATGTGAGGATGTCTACTGAAGCACAGCCAAGTGTAACAGTAATAGTTTCCAAACTTCTTCATTCATTAATCTATTCACCAGATAACTTACGAAGCAACTACCTAATGGGCTTGGCATTCCACTGAGGATAAAAAGTGATTATTAAAATAGTGTGTCACCAAGAAGGTTATAATCTTATGAGGAAATAATAAATGTAACAAAACAAATTACATTATATCCTACTAGTTAAAGACTGAATATTCTTTCCTGACATAAATGTCCTAGTTTGGATTAAAGTTGAAGTTATTCAGGATTTGGTGCTGAGCCTCCTTTTCTTCTCACTCTGCACTCATCATAATGAGGTCACGTACGCAAGCAGTAAACAAGGATTCTGACTTTATGACCATCGACTTGAACTTTTATGTACACGAAAAATAAACTTTCCAGCTCATTCAAGCCAGTGGTTTTTTTCGGGGAGTGTTCTCTGTCCCTGCAGCTGGACCTAATCCTAACTGATACATTGATCCAACAAAAAAGGGGAAATGCAATAAAGAAAGGAATAGGAGTAAGAGGCAAAGATGGAAATTCACTAAAAATGCTCTAAAAGAATCTACTGTATATATTAGGAGCTGTTTTTAATTAAGTGAATAATACACTGTCTTTGTATAAATAAAGGGAAGAGAAAATGCATCCTAGTGAGGGAACCAAAGGCATTACTCTTTCTCCAACACCTCGAACATGGTATACCAAAACCAAACTCATTATCTTCCCCCCCAGCAAAAAAAATCACCCTTCAAATTCTGTATTTTTCTCAGCATCCGTGCTCAGAATCTGTGAGTCATATCTGATTTCTTGCTGCATTTACCCTCAAATACAATCACTCATCATGTTCTAGCAGGAAAATACATTTTTTTCAAGCTTATTCTCTTTAAAGTACAATTTTTAGTGGTATTCTTTTTTAAAAAACTGAGAACTCAATTATTTAATTTTTATTTATGTATATTTTCTCCCCTCAACTAGACTAGTTTTTTCTTAAGAGTACTATTAATCCACAGTACCTAGTCCAGTTTCAATAGATACTGAACAACAACAACAAAATACTGAAGAATTATGATGGTATTAGGAGGTGGGGAAAAATAAAAGAAAAAAAGAAAAAAAACCCAACAACTTAAGAACAATCCATGAATAAGCCAGGGCTGAAAAAGCTCCTTTGTTACATGCTCCTAGAAAGAGAGAATTTTCACACTTGATTTACAATACAGTAACTTTAGGTAACTCCAATTACTGTGGTGCTTTTTGAATCAGATGTGGTACAGAGAAGACAGCTGTGAACTAGAGTCCACAACTAGCTTACAAGAAACAGAAGTTTTGGGGATATATTAAGTGCATGGGTTTATAAATAGGGTATACAAAATGAACATTATTACTACTTCTTATAAGAAACTGTGAAGCAACACACTTATTAAAGGCACTACTGAAAAAATTATTAAATCAACCTGGTTCTAATGAGATCAAACGATTTAAATGACAAAGAAATCTTCATGATACATAAATATAAGATAGCTTTTTAAACAGGTTTTTGTCTTAATACAAATATACAGTATCTACAACACATATTTATGCAACCTTCCCTCCTCTCACATTTCTAACTGAGATCTGCTCCTGGGTCACCTTTTCCAGCCACAATTTGACGTTTGAGATAGAAATAAAAATAACTTTTTATTTTTTTAGAGTCTCACTGTCACCCACACTGAAATGCAGTGGCACGATCATAGCTCACTGCAGCCTCAAACTCCTGGACTCAAGCAACCCTCTAACCTCAGCCTCCCAAGTAGCTAGAACTATAGGCATGAACCACTGTACCCCGCTAATTTTTTCCAGTTTTTGTGGAGACAAGGTCTCACTATATTGCCCAGGCTGGTCTTGAACTCCTGGCCTCAAGCAATCTTCCTGCCTCAGCCTCCCAAAGTGCTGAGATTACAGGCATGAGCCATTACACCCAACCAAAAATAAAAATATTAACTAAACTAAGATGTAAAGTGGGAAAGGAAATCTGACATTACTAATTAGCACCGATTGAAATGTTAATTTTACTAGAATAGACATTTACGTAATAGAAGATGTACATCTGGATCTCTATAAATGGTAATCAATTTTTAAAATCTATCAATTTCAAACATCATCTGTGAAATAAGACATTATTCTGTAGAGTTAAATCATTCATCACAATCACTAGAGGCTCTAGACTAGAGTCAGGATGAAACAGGATCCAATACCCACTTGTGTTTAATTTTAGACTTTTCATGCCTCAGCTCACAAAAGAAAAAAAGCATAAATTTCCTTCTAAATTTCCATAGGCCTTCTGTAAACTCCACAGCTGCAGAGGTTAAATGGTCCAAATGACACATCATAAATGCAGGACAACTGAGTCTAGAATTAGCATCTTTAAAAGAATAATGTGGGGGGGGGGCATGATAGTATAATAAAAGTTAATATTTTACTTGAATAAGAACCTCTTTCTATAAATATATGGAAAGCATACCTTATTTTCTTTATATTTACTGAGATCTGCTATGCAGTATTCCTTAAATAATTTATCATAGTATTTCTTAGCAAGTCTCTTCTCCCTAGATCCATAAAAATATAAATATACATTTAGAAACTCAACCACGGTTTGCTACTTTCAAGTGATGTCAAAGAATACATATGACATAAATATTAAAGTTTTAAGAGAACTATTACTTACATGTGCATGGAATATCTGGATACTAACTATTAAAAGTGGTTCACTCAGGGAGGGAAATTGGAGAATGACAGTCACAAATGAGAAGGAGAATCACTCTTCACTGTTTACCCTTTGTAATGTTTGGATTTAAAAAAACATTTTCAGGTATGACTTTTCTCCAAAACTTTAAAAATTAAAGCAGCAGCATATAATAGCATATTACAAGATAACACACAATACTGTAAAAAATAATGTTTTTGAAGACTAAGTCAAACACTGAGAAGTCAGTTAAAACTGCCAAAAATTACCAAAAGAACCAAATAATCCTAGGTATGATTTTATGTCCTTGATTCTGAACTGTTCTATGAAGGGGCTGAACACCTTGACTAAGTGACAAAAAACCACTCAGAAAACAGGAGAAACAGGACTAAAGCATTTGATGCATTATGCCTCTGATGGCTAATTACCAAGTCATGTCCATTTCGTCCTCCTCATTCCATAGGAATCTATGATTTTCTCGTATAACATCCAAGTCTGTCTTGTCATTTTCCCTGGAAAACAGAACTTTTTCAATTTAATACAAAAACAAAAGTAGTCAAATTTAGGTTAAATAGCTCTGTGAGTTTTGGAAAATTTTATTAAAAATATAATACATGAATATAGTTCTTTTGTGAGTATATATATTTGTTCATATATTTATAAAAATACTTCAGTATTTTCCAAAGGTACTTATAAAAAACAGTACTATAGAAGCAAGTTAAATGGATAAGGAATCTGTCTGTAGCATTGGTTTCAATTATACAAATGGTGCTAAGTTACCAAAGCTAGAATGAGAAACCTGACTAAACACTAAATGAATAAAGAAAAGTGAATGAAAATAAGTTTCAGAATCTAACCAAAAGTCTATAAAACACCACTCTGCTGAGATTTAATTTTAAAAAATATGAAAAGTTTTCCATATCTCATTTTACTACAGTTTCCTAGGTAGAAGACTGAGTAAAGGAGGAAGAGAGCCAAAGGGATTGATCTTTCAAAATAAAATGCTAACTAACAGTCTGGGGGTTAAAAAAAAAAAAAAAAAAAAGTGATTATTGGGAGATACAGGGGAGATAAATTGGGGGTAAATGAGATGGTACTAAAGTTTCTCAGAGCGCTACCAACTCAGAAAATTGTTAGAGGGAAAAAAAAAACTCACATAAAACTAAGAAGTTCTAAGACCTGTGCACACTATAGCAGTACAATTCACAATTGCAAAGCTATGGAACCGACCGAAGGGCCCATTAACCAATGAGTGGATAAAGAAAATGTGGTGTGTGTGTATATATATATATATATATATATATACCAAGGAATATTACTCAGCCACAGAAAGGAATGAAAGGATGTCTTTTGCAGTAACTTGGATGGAGGAGGCCATTATTCTAAGTGAAGTAACTCAGGAATGGAAAACCAGATATCCTATGTTCTCATTGACGTGTAGGAGCTAAGCTATGAGGATGCAAAGGCAAAAGAGTCATATAATGGACTCTAGGGACTTAAGGCGGGGGAAGGCCGGGAGGGAGGTGAGGGATAAAAGACTACATTTTAGGAATAGCATACAGTGCTTGGGTGATGGGTGCACTAAAATCTCAGAAATCACCACTAAAGAAGTTATCCAGGCAACCAAAAACCACCTGTACCCCAAAAACTATTGAAATAAAAATAAAAATTAAAAAACCAAAAACAAGGCCAGGGGTGGTGGCTCACGCCTGTAATCCCAACACTTTGGGAGGCCGCAGATCAGCAGGTCAGGAGATCGATACCATCCTGCCTAACATCGTGAAGCCCCGTCTCTACTAAAAATACAAAAAAATTAGCCGGGCGTGGTGGCAGGCGCCTATAGTCCCAGCTACTCGGGAGGCTGAGGCAGGAGAATGGCGTGAACCAGGGAGACAGAGCTTGCAGTGAGCCGAGATCGCGCCACTGCACTCCAGCCTGGGCGACAGAGCGAGACTCCTTCTCAAAAACAAACAAACAAACAAAAAAAACCACAAAAACAATAACAAAACAAAACAAGAAGTTCTGACAGAAGAGTCAAACATGGGAAGGACTTTGATGTGCAAGAAATGCTAGAGTGAGATTTCTTGTTTACCTTTTTTAAAAAGCAATCCCAAACATTAAGGTCTAAAAATTTCCTTATTTCAAAGATCCTTGCCAAGAAGACACATGGTATACCTCACATATCCTTTTATCACCAGGGTTGTGCCCGGCTCAGCATGTATAGTCTACCTGAGGCCTGTTCAAAGATATTGGATTCATGAAGAGCTACTCAGTTAGGACCTGTGGATGGTATCTCTACCTTATAATATAAAAAAGAAACTGGGGCCAGGAGCGGTGGCTCATGCCTGTAATCCCAGCACTTTGGGAGGCCAAGGTGGGTGGATCACGAGGTCAGGAGTTCAAGACCAGCCTGACCAAGATGGTGAAATCCCGTCTCTACTAAAAATACAAAAATTAGCCAGGCACGGTGGCAGGAGCTTGTAATCCCTACTCGGGAGACTGAGGTAGGAGAATTGCTTGAACCACGGCAGCAGAGGTTGCAGTGAGCTGAGATCAAGCCACTGCTCTCCAGCCTGAGCAACAGAGTGAGACTCCATCTTAAAAAAAAAAAAAGGCAAACTGGAATAGAAAGCAGGGAAGAATGACAGAATCAGAAGGCACAGTAGCTGTGGGTCTTTGAAGTTCTCCATAACCCACATTCCCTTCTATGTAAACTTCCTGATACTTACCCCAAACGCTTGAAATCTTCTTTTTTGCCACCATAATATAAAATGTAGTCATTTACAAACTTTGTATGTCTTTGATACTGAAATGCAAAAAATTAAGGATTTTATTCTCTCAGGAGTTGTTTGGTGTCATAATATATTGCCGATTGGGGGTAAAAAAAGCATAGTATGAGTCTATTTAGTTTCTTTAAAAATATTCACCGCTGGGCACGGTGGCTCATGCCTGTAATCCCAGCACTTTGGGAGGCCGAGGTGGGTGGATCACGAGGTCAGGAGTTCAAGACCAGCCTGACCAAGATGGTGAAATCCTGTCTCTACTAAAAATACAAAATTAGCCGGGCGTGGTGGCGCACGCCTGTAATCCCAGCTACTCGGGAGGCTGAGGCAGGAGAATTGCTTGAACCTGGGAGGCAGAGCTTGCAGTGAGCCGAGATCAGGCCACTGCGCTCCTCCAGCCTGGGCAACACAGCGAGACTCTGTCTCAAAAAAGTAAACAAATAAATAAAAATAAAATATAAAAGTATTCACATAGTATACATGCTTATACATTCAGAAAATCTAGAAGGGTATATATTAAATTGTTGAAAGTGAAGATTGTAAAGTAGAGGCTTTCTTTTGAATATTTTTCAAGCATACACTACTCTTGTGATAAAAATATATCTCCATCTGGGGAGAAAGACAGCTTCTTATTCTATTGCTGAACTGCATATAGCCTCCTACCACCACTCATTCTAATAATCACAATATGAAAAATTTAAAAATTATAGTTTCTAAAAGTAGAGTAGAATTTATCTTTCATTATCATAAAATATAATTTATCTATTTTAGCAATGATAAAGCCTCTAAGTAGAAGATGCAACTTTTATAGTATGAAATCCTAACATTAAACTTTCAAAAAAAGCAAATATAAAAAATCAGTTTCTATATTGTCTTTTAAATTCAAAGAATAAAATGCCATGTTTACTTTCAAAGCAGTGTAACAAAATATATGAGCATTTTACTGTTTTAAAAAGCTCAACAGCTCTCTCTAGAGCCAAACATGCATATAATAGCTAACCTCGCCTTCTACAATACTCTGTGACTGTTACATTAAAGATATACAGTGATTTAATTGATCATAATGTGTACTAATAGACAATTTAATCAGACAGTGATATTTTCATATTGTAACAAACCAGTTACTATTTCAGGGGGAAAGAAAAAAGAAAGAGAGAGAGAGACAGAAAGAAAAGCCAAATATCTGGAGATCTGGATTCTAGCTCTCGATCTACCACTAACTGGTCACGTGACCATGGCAAGTCATGTAGCCTATTAGAGCTGGGGTCAGCAAACATTTTCTGCAAAGGGCCAGATGGTAAATATTTCAGGCTTTGCAAGCCATATGGTCTCTGTTGCAAATGCTCAGTTCTGCCATTTTAGCATGAAAGCAGCCAAAGACAACATATAAATGAAGCATGGCTGTATTCCAATATAATTTTATGTACAAGAACAGGTGGCGGGTGGAACTTTTGCTTCCGGGAAGATGGAGTAGGCAAAGATGTACTTCTCCCTATTCCTCATACTAACAACAACTAAAATCCTTGTACATTATATATCAAATATAAAAAGACTCTAAAAAGTAGAGGGAAGAAGGCATACCACTAGGGACCTCCTGAAGACCTACGGTATGACATGATAGCGAGTTCCCTAGGTTTTCTTTTTGTCTCATATATCCTAGATTTGGAGGTAAAGAAGCTGACAACCTGGAAACACCAACAGGCACGGACTAAAAAAGCCTCAATGAAAGCCTGTTCTCTCTAACCAAATGACCAAGAGTCAGTTTAGCAAGACAACTTTTAGACAATAACTACTTTACTCTTGTCAAACAACCCAAAGAAAACTGTGGCTCCCAGTCAGAATCGCAATTATTAAAAAGTCAGGAAAAAACAGATGCTAGCAAGGTTGTGGAGAAACAGGAACGCTTTTACACTGTTGATGGGAATGTAAAATGGTTCAACCATTATGGAAGACGATGTGGCAATTCCTCAAGGATCTAGAACCAGAAATATCATTTGATCCAGCAATCCCATTACTGGGTATATACCAAAAGGAATATAAATCATTCTATTATAAAGATACATGCACATGTGTGTTTATTGCAGCACTATTCACAATAGCAAACACATGGAACCCATTCAAATGTCCATCAATGATAGACTAGATAAAGAAAATGTGGTACATATACACCATGGAATACTATGCAATCACAAAAAGAAACGAGATCATGTCCTTTGCAGGGACATGGATGAAGCTGGAAGCCACCATCCTCAGCAAACCAACACAGGAACAGAAAACCAAACACCACATGTTCTCACCCATAAATGGGAGCTGAACAATGAGAACACATGGACACAGGGAGGGGAACAAAACACACTGGAGCCTGTGGGCAGGGAAGGGCGAGGGTGACGGGTTGACAGGTACAGTACACCACCATGGCACATGTATACCCTATGTAACAAATCTGCATGTTCTGCACATGTATACCAGAATTTAAAGTAATAAAATAAAATAAAGAAAAAATAAAATAAAATAAATCCTCAAACACAAAACAAAAAACAAACAAAAAAACTGTGGCTCCACCTCCACCTATGCCAGAAAAGGAGTGTCTATACTTTCACTCTCACCAGGCTCTAACTAGGTGCCCCCAATGCAGTGGGTGTCAGAGAAGGCAGAGCAAATGTTTAAATGCTAAAGGAACAAACGGCAGATGAGATCCATGGAAAAGCTAAGCTACTAGGTTAGGAGATAAGAGGAATAAATCAATTAGTGACACAATGGTACTTCTATAACTTAAAGAAAAATATTGGAATAACACAGTGAAACAGATGATTACAGGTACGGGGCGTATCAAATTGACACTGTCTCCTTCTCCCAATTCTGATCACAGCAATAAATACCCAAAGATACTTCAGTTCTTGCTTGGTCTCTCTTTAATTCTCCAATATTCTCAACAGCAGTATGGATGGCCAGCGTAGCGGTTAAGCATCATTAGCCAGTCTTATTAAAAAACTGAGTTGAGAAATGGCTATAACCAGAAGGCAGGGTTTATCTTAAAGATAGCTTTAAGTCATGCCTAAAAATTAAAGCCATGGCAGGCCTGAGGACAGTCCACAGGCAGGCCTCATTTTATTTCTACTTTTTCCTTAGATCCAGGGACAGGCTGGATAGACCTAATTTTAAATACAAGTTTTGTAGAGACCTTAAATAGCAAAGAACTAGGTAGGAAAAGCATAAATTAAAATGAGACTAAAGATAAGTATACGAAAAGGAAATGTTGAAAGCTTGAAAAAACAATTAGGAAAATATATTTGCAGATTCATGTACTTTATAAACCTATTTATAGAGTACTAGTAATATGTTTCATTATTTTTGTTTCTAAATCTTTCCTATATATTAGTAAAAGAGAATTGTACCCAAAAGTATAAATGGCAAAATCCTACATCACTAAATACTTATCTTTAAAAATAAAAAGGCCTATTTGACTTCACAAAATTTTATAAAACAAAAAAGCAGATTTTAAAATATTCTACTAGTTATAAAAATCTGGAAATACAAAAAGGATACAGCATCCATAGCTATGAGATGAAACCTTCTATTTCTTGCTTCTTCCCTGTTAAAACAAATTTTTTAAAGAAAATTCAAAATGTCTATATTCAAATTAACATAATCAAATCTTTTAGTCCATAGTTGATGAAGCAACTTAAACCAAGAAATAGAATTGACATTGAAATACCATACCTATCCAGCAATTCCGCTGCAACTTGTTTATGGGCCACCTTTCCATGCTTTTCTTTCTGAAATGGTTTTTGGAGCAGTAAGTCATCTTCAACTGTCCTGGTATATAAGAAGAAAATAAGAGTTCATTTTTTCCAAAGGTTATTTTCTAATTCTTTGTATTTTCATAATTGGAATATACTTTAAAGAATGTAAGTCTTAGCTTTAAGGAGACTCACTGATCTTTAACAAGATATTTTACATTTCCTTAAATAGCTTAATTAATACCTTAACGTTAATACCCATAACATGGGGAAGATGAAACTAACAAAAGCATGGACTCTAGTGTCATATCACCTAGGTTCCTGATTCAAATCCTAATTCTGTCAATTACTACTTTAATCTTAATAAGACTCGATTATATATCTCTTTGTTTCTTAATTTCTCTATCTGTAACACAGTGATAAGGAAGTTTCTGGTAATTAATAATAAGCAAAAAGCAAGGCTGATTATAGAGAAAACAAACCATAGATCAAGCTCATCCAACCTGTGGGCCTCATGTGGCCCAGGATAGTTTTGAATGTGGCCCAACAAAAATTTGTAAACATTAACACATTTGTTCACAATTTTTTTTAACCTCATTGGCTATCATTAGTGTATTTTATGCAGACCCAGCACTGCTCCAGGCCAACAGTGTGAGCCAACAGACTCAACAATTGTGTGTGCTCCACTGTAGTGTGCGGCCCAAGACAATTCTTCTTCTTCCAATGTGGCTCAGGGAAGCCAAAAGATTGGACACCCTGCCATAGACGATCAGCCCTAGTTACAGTGATGAATATAATCCTGGAGCAGAGTATCCAACTAGATTTGCTCAAATTCTGTTCTTACAAAGTAATATTTTTGAATGAAAAATCTAGAAAATGTAAAGCATCAAAAATGTAATTTATTATAATTAGTACTATCCTTTGAGTTATCACAAAGACTGAGTATCCTACAAAAATGTTCAGACACTGTGAGTATGCCTAATATATTGCTCTCAGGGTGAAACGATAAGCCAATTTCTGTAAGTTTGCTTAGCAAAAATTAGTCAACAGCCTGGTGTGTAAGTCTGGTTAGTATACATCAGTCAACTACTCCTGAGTCAAAGTATAAAACTGAGTTTCTATGCACTGAAAGCTAAGAACAATGCTCCTACGCACAGCAGCACAGCAGCTCCACCAAGACATATCCTGCTTATAATGCACAGGCTTTATGTGCTAAGAGTTCTTGTTTCTTGCAATTCAATAAAACCTTCCTTGAGTTTCTTCCCATGACCTCTTAGTCTGCTCATTCATGTATCCATAAGAACTGTGCTGCATTATACTTTCATCCTCCATATTAACTTCACTTTGAAGGCAAGTACTGGCAAGAGACCACCATTCAAGCCCCTTCTGAGCTACATTTGCAAATAAACAGTCCTTGACAGTTGAATGAAAAATATATGCAATGAAAAGGTTTCACTGATTTCTGAAAAGATTCCAGAAATCTGAAACTCTTCTTTCCCTTTCAATAAACCCCTTCGCAGAATTAATGTTTTATTTTTCCCACAATTGTTCTCCAATTTTTAATCAACGTATTAATTTAATGAAAACTTCACTAGAGCAATTGTCTTCACATGTAAACACAATTCAAAAATTTCACTCTTAGTTATTTATGCTTCATATTAATCTAGAAAGGATGTGAAAAACAGATCAATAAAAAAAAGTACTTACCTTGTTTTCCTTTTGCTGGATTCTCCACAGTGTTCATCATCACTAAAATCAGAATCGTAGCCTCCATGACCATGCATCTGTAAAGGAGTACAAAGCTATTTAGAATCCAGGTTGCCAATTGTCCAGGAAACAGAATAATTAAAAAATAAGTTAGTTTTCAAGGATCATTGTGGGCAGATTCCTGTTCACCGGCCATCTAGCCATCTAAAACTTTCATTCACTTTTAAATAAGAGACACACCTTTCAGAAAATGCATCAACATTTTACACCCTTAATTGTCATTAGGTGAACAAAGAAGGCTACTCTTTGATCTTTTCACTGAAAACCAGGCCTAGAAGCTGCAGTGACTGCTTACAAGGTTTGGCAATGCTTCACTTTTGATTCAGAGTAGTAGTAATCACTGTGTGTTTATCACCAACTTTGTTCCAGACATTTGTGTTAAGTACTTTACAAACAATGCTTCTAATTCTGCAAGTTAGAAAGTTATCTTCATTTAGGAAAGAAGTAATCAAAGTAAAGTAAATCTATTTTACAAATCCAGTAAGTGGCTAATCTGCTCTACTTGATTCTTGTGCCCACAATTTCAACTACTCCAGATTTCCTCTCTGGAATATGATTTACTACATTCCAGGAGAATTACAGTACTTATGAACAGTACATCATCAATTGATGAAAATTTTCCTGTAATCTTTTTCAACATATGTAGAGATTTCCATTTTCTTTTGAGTTTCTTTAAGGTAAACCACCTTTCCCTTTGGACTAGTCAGCCTTCTCTTGTTTCATTTTATTTATCTAGTTATTTTTGGAGAGTCTTGCTCTGTTGCCCTGGCTGGAGTGCTGTGGCACCATGATGGCTCACAACATCCTCAACCTCCTGGGCTCAATTGATCCTCCCACTTCAGTCTCTCCAGGCTGAGACTATAGGAATGCACCACCACACCTGTCAAACTTTAAAAAAATTTTTTTTTGTAGATAAGGGGTTTCATCATGTTGCCCAAGCTGGTCTCGAACTCCTGGGCTTCAGCAATCCATCCACCTCAGCCTCCCAAAATGCTGGGACTTCATTTTTGAACTGAAACTCTTACAAATGCTGGAAGACGTCAGTTGTCACTCAATTGTATTGGAAGAAGTTCCTGGTTCCAGCTTTACACTGAATTTGGAACACACACTAAGATGGATGGATGGATTATTTGACTATTTGATGTCACAAATAACTAATTTACATGGCTGGAAGGAACAGTCCAGGTTAAATGATATATCAAATTATTAAAACTAATATAACGACAGCAAGTGCAGCAGGAAAAAGAGGAAAGAATTCCCTAAACTTCATTGCATTGGATCTATGATAAACGACGTTTCTAGTCCTAGCTACCCTGAATAAGTCATTTCATCTCCCTGGACTTCATCTATTAAATAAGGTAGCTACGAGAAATAATCTTTAAGTTGTTTAAATCTTAAACAACCTTTAAAGTCTGTAACTCCACTTTCAAACTTAGGTGTGTGGGTATATACCTCTCTTCTCTGTCCCACTAAAATCCTAGAGGAAGATGCTAGTTAAGGTTGGAGACGAAGGTTAGAAAGCCACAGTTCCAACTCTACCCTCCCTTACATCTGTTATTGCCTTACACACCTGGATTTTACACCCTTTTTTAGGTCAACTCCAGCTGTCTTATCACATCTGTTCAAGCCATATTGTTCTCTCACTCTTTGTCCTATGTCCTCACTTTCTTTCCATCTTGATCGGGGACAGCTGTAGCATGGAGTTTAGAGATATATTCTGAGATCAGCCTACTAGAATTCACAGCCTGGCTCTGCACTTTCCATTTGTCTTTCTTTGGGCCTGTTCCTTAACCTCTCCAAGACTCAGTGTCCTCATTTATAAAAAGAGGCTAGTAAGATGACTGACCTCATAGGAATAGAGATTAAATGAGTTACCTCATCTAAAGGGTTTTATCGTTGTCTTCTATAGTGAAACCCAGTAAATGTTAACTATCATCATCATCATCTTGTCCCTCGCCCCAGGACACCACTTCCTACTCTTGCTCCTACTCTCCCATTTCTTTATTAGCTGGCCGCTCCATCCAACCCATACCTTTCTTAACTCACTGGTTGAACTAAAAAGCTCTCACTCACTTCAGGCTACGAATCAACTGACAAGAGCCGGCAGAAACTCAAGAACGGAGATGCCAGGTGTCTCCAGAATCTGTCATCCAAAACAAAACCAAACAAAACCCGACAATCAACTAGTACTATATGAAAAGCAAGTTTTGAGGTCCTTCTCCCTGATGCCAAATATACCCACAGCCCTCGTCACACACCCTTTCCCTTCCTCCCTGTGTGCCAAGTTCGCCCCCGGAATCGTCGTTTCCTTCTTTCCCGGCAGCTGCAGCGACGACCCACAGCCTGAGAGAGCCGCTGCAGGACAGGTCCCATGCGCCCGGCCGCGCAGCCTCCCCACAACCGCCGCCGCCGTCGCCCGCTACCCGCCTCTCCCTACGGGTCCCGACTGGGCACTACTTCCGGTCCTATACGACCACGTGTTACATCTAAATGGCACCGTCGCCCGAGTGCGCCGATCTTGTGCTACAGCCAGAACAGCTCCGGGAAACAAGGGCAGCGGGAGAAACGGCCCGGAAGGGACGAAGAAGCTCTCGGCTTTCGCCAAGTCGCGGCTCCCAGTTTTTCCCTGGACCGCCTTCCTTTCCCCTCTAGGGAATCCGGCATCTAGTACTGCTGGCACTGCTTGCTGCTCAGCCCACGGCTCTCATTTGAAAATATATTTTGTTTTACCCTGCCTATCACCTGCAGTCCTCTCTCTAGTAACCTTAGTAACGCCTCCTCGGAGGATCTTCGCAGAGCATCTCATCAGCGCTTCATTTAAGCCTCTCCCTCCTTCCCCCAGTAAAACAGTTCTCATAATTAGAACAAAAATATCTTTCCATCGTTTCACCACCCACACAATAGATACCATTCCAAAAGTAGTGCTGATGGCAGAAGAGCTCATCGAATTTGTAAGGAAAGAAAGAATAGGGAGGAGAGATTTCTCAGGGTTGAGGATTCTCTGCCGACAAGCGACCTGGCACGTGCGAAAAGGGATCCAAAATAGAATCTTAAAAAGAAGAAGGAAGGCAGGAAAAGTTGGATTATTTTAAGCGCCTCTAGGTTCTTCCTGTGCTTTGCCTTTTCTACATCATGACGCCCCACTCTTTCCAGTCTAGTTGCTTGGTTCATGTCTTGTCTTTCGCTGCCATTAGCAGCTATTCATTTTTGCTTCCTCCTCAGTACCCAAAACGGTGCCTTGGAAATCACAAGTGCTAATTAAATATTTGTTGAATTGAACTGGCACGCTTCTGGCTTTTACAGTGGGCCCTTTTTAGAGACAACCTTGGCACTTAATGCACACTCATTTTACATCTTTTACCCTAAACAGTAGATAACGATATCCTTATCAGTTCAAGTCTCTAACCCCGACAATAAATTATGGATACATTCTGCTTTACCCATTGCAGTGAATGTGATCTTAAAAGGCTATAAGATAAATTAAATTATTGTAAATTAAATTATTCCAAAATGCAATCAGATTATACTTCAACAAAAACATTTACTAAAAAAAGTTAAAGCAACAGGAAGCCTTAGAATTTAACGTTATAGTATATTGAATTATTTTGTCAAGCAGTTTCTTTTCTGGTAAATATATAATTATTTTATTATTAATAAAATTAAACAGACCTATACCTCGTATCCAATTTCCTTTCTATCCATATTTGACATTTATTAGCATTTTTCTACCATCCCTAACATCTTCTTGTTTGTTGCTTCATTTTACTCTTCCAGCAACCCTGTGCTGCTGTGTTGTTAGCCTCATTTCACACATGAGGAAGAGAGGCACAGAACCTAAAGCCAAAAACCTGGTGAGGGTCAAGAACTGGGTAGTATTTGTCTCTGCCTCTCTGCAAGACCCAGTTTCTCTCTCTCTCTTTCTCTTTCTCTCTCTCCCCCACTTCATGGATTGTGTGGGAAGTAGCTTCTGGTTCCAACATTTCTAAGAATTTCATATCTGTTGCTACCAGTCCATTCAGTCAAAGATTTCCATTTTTTACTTTGAGACAGCAGTTACTGAAAAAGAGTAAATAGAAAATATATATTAGGCATAGATTGCATGATCTGAACTAAAAATAATACAGGATAGAAAACCTACCTGCTTAGGAAATCTCAAGTTCACAATTATAGCTCAACAACAATAAAAAACACAAACATTTATTAAGTGCCTACTCTGGGCAGGACACTGTCCCAGACATCAGAGTTACAGGCATGTAACAGCAACTCCTTACCTTGAAGGTTGACTAGTAAGAAAGACAATATATGGAGTAACTACAACAATATATTCTATCATATGCCAAGTGTCTAGTAAGTGCATGAACCTGTTGTTCCTAATTTATAAAATGTTATTTCAACGGATATGAAAAATTTAAATGTGCACTAATGCTGTGTAACTCAAAGCAACAAAATACTATATTAAGTATGTGGTGAGGATGAGGGAAGTTGGGTGATGATGGTGGTGATAATACCAAGTAACAATTCTAATATAAACTATGAATGTGCATTTTTTAAAATTCAAGACCAAGTCTCACTCTGTCACCCAGGTTGGAGTGTAGTGGCATGATCTTGGCTCACTCCAACCCCTGCCTCCTGGGTTCGAGCAATTCTCCTGTCTCAGCCTCCCAAGTAGCTGGGACTACAGGCGCACACCACACCCAGCTAATTTTTTTTTTTTTTTTTAGTAGAGACGGGGGTTTCACCATGTTGGTCAGGCTGGTCTCGAGCTCCTGACCTCAGGTGATCCACCCACCTTGGTTTCCCAAAGTGCTGGAATTACAGGCATGAGCCACCACGCCCAGCAAATGTGCATTCTTTTCTTTTCTTTTTTTTTTTTTCTTTGAGACAGAGTCTCACTTCGTCACCCAGGCTGAAGTATAGTGGTACCATCTCAGCTCAACCTCCACCTCCTGGGTTCAAGCCATTCTCCTGCTTCAACCTTCCCAGTAGCTGGGACTACAGGTGTGAACCACCATGTATTTTTAGTAGAGACAGGGTTTCACCATGTTGGCCAGGCTGGTCTCGAACTCCTGACCTCAAGTGATCCCGCTGCGGCCTCCTAAAGTGCTGGGATTACAGGCATGAGCCACTGTGACCGGCTGAATGTGCATTCTACTAATACTGTATGTCTTTGAGAAGACTGCATTTTCCAAAAATATACCAATATATACCATTATATACCAAATATACCAATATATCCCATTAAACATGTTCTTTTTATAATATGATGCTAACACTTCTCTATGGTAAGCTAATACCTATGGCCACAGCTTTGAATCTGGGCATGTCAGTGACTACAGCAGAAGTAATGCTAAGAGACTTCTGAGGCTAAGTTGTAAAAGGTGATAGAGCTTCTGCCTGGGTTTGTCACTCTACTTCTTTAGCTGACATGGAGTGGAGCAGAGATGAAGTAACCTCACTGAGTCTCACCCAGATTGCAGATTAATAATCAGAGTAAGTATTATTTTTTCAAGCCACTAAGCCTTGAGGTTGTTTGTTATATACCAATTAATATCCAGAACCATCTGCTCTCTCACTTAACCTCCATAACATTTGATGAGACCTCAGCCACGCTGGGCTTTCTTTGTTTCTTCAACATGCATGCCTCTTCAAATTTACCACTTCCTCTACCCGGCATGGTCTTCAACCCTTTCTCTTTGCCTCCCTAACTCCTCTTTATCCTTCAAAACTCAACTTAGGTGAAGGAAAGGCCTTTTATGAGCACCTCTCCCACAGACTAGATAGGATTACTGATAATATGCACATTACTTTCCATTGCACTTAGCTACATACAGAGTAATAATTTAGCCCTGTTTCCCTCACTGAGATGCAAGCTCCACAATGGCAGGAAGCTTACCTCTTTTTTTCAGTGTGGAATCCCCAGTGCTCAGCACAGTGCCAGACACATGATAGGTGCTCAGAATATTTATTGAACAAATGAAGTAGGTACTATTATTATCCCCATTGTACAATAAGAAAACAGATTTTTAAAAAATTATATAACACTTCCAGAGTCATGAGCAGGCAAATGGGGGCACAAATATAACTGACTTCAAACCTCACACCATATATATATGATATGGTTTGGCTCTGTGTCTACCCAAATCTTATGTTGAATTGTAATTCCCAGTGTCGGAGGTGGGGCCTGATGGGAGGTGATTGGATCATGGGGGTGATTTCTAATGGGTTTAGCACCATCTCCCTAGTGCTATCTTGTGATAGAATTCTTAAGAAATCTGGTTATTTAAAAGTGTGTAGCACCTCCCTCTTTGCTCTCTTTCTCCTACTGCTGCCATGTAAGACATGTCTGCTTCCTCTTCACCTTCCACCACAATTGTAAATTTCCTGAAGCCTCCCCAGCCATGCTTCTTGTGCAGCCTGTAGAACTGTGAATGAATTAAACCTCTTTTTTTTTTTTTTAAACAAATTACCTAGTCCCAGGTAGTTCTTTATAGCAATGTGAGAACTAATACTAAATATATACATATACACACACACACACACATATGTATATATAGAGAGAAATAGGTAGGGAGGGTGTGTTATCTCTCTGTTGCCCAGGCTACAGTGCAGTGGCATAGTCATGGCTCACTGCAACCTCAACTCCAAGGCTCAAGCAATCCTCCCACCTCAGCCTGCTGAGTAGCTGGACCATAGGCTGTTGCCAGCACACCTGCCTATTTGAAAACATTCTGTAGAGACAGGGTCTCACTATGTTTCTCAGGCTGATCTCACACTTCTAAGCTCAAGCTATTCTCCCACCTCGGCCTTCCAAAGTGCTGGGATTACAGGTGTGAGTCACAGTGCTTAGCCCAAAGCTCACACTATTGACCACCATACATATTGCCTTTCAATAAGGCCCATGGTGGTTTGTGATACTTAAAAAAATTAGAAATTATTTTTATGGAGGAAAGGTACCAGATAAATTGAGACAGAGGGATTAGTAAGAGGCAGGAAAGGCTTTGTAGAGGAAGTGGGACTTAAGCTATGACTTAAATGTAGATCTTAAGAGGAGAGGAGATGAAAGGAGGGGGCAGTCAAGGCAAGGGAGTTTCGGTAAAAGATTAGAGGTGGAAATATCCACAGGTTCCTTAGGGGAATTTGAGTAGATCACTTGAGCTGGAGAAGAATTTTTGAAAAGGATTAGTGAAAGAAAGATCAGAAAGAGAGATTAGAGCCAGATTTGGGGCATTCTTAAATGCTAGGGTGCAGAGATTAGTTTAGAGCTAGGGAAGTATTGTAAAGAATACAGTGGTGGTTTGGACTGGTAGATATCTGAAATCGAATTTATATATAAATCCTGGCTCTGCCATTTACCAGCTATGTGACATTGAGCATCACTTAATGTTCTTCAAGTTTTCATCGTCTTCTGTAAAATGGGAATAATGACAGTAACTACTTCAC